TGGGCGAATTAAACAATCTCCTGAACCGCCACACTTCGGAGTCTCGGGATGGCCTCTTGATTTATTTGGGTTTGGCTGGGTATATTGCCGGAGATTTGACTATGTACGGAGTAGGGGTGTGAACCGTGTGTTTGCGTGGTTATAATATCCCGGTGAGGGGAACATGTCTTACCTTTTCTTTTCGTTAAGTTAGTAGATAACCTTGCAAACCGGCCGAAGATTCGTGGCTGAATCGCATGAACCTGCAATCTTAGATTGGCTACTTTGTACTCCGTACTCCGTACTAGTTGATCTTGGTTCATGATCAATGCAATAGTCTTGCGATAGTCTTGCGTTGTATGATGTACCTTCGTACTCGCAATGTAGCCCCTTTTATGGATGATACCTGTTCGAGGAACTTCATCATATGTTGTCTCGGAGAAAAAAAAAATGATAGTCAATGGTCGATGCGCACTAAAATTGGGATCCGATCTTAATCTCTTGCCAACTTAAGGAAACAAGTTTGTCGCTCATCTCCTTGTGATTATGATTCTATGATCGTCTGTTTATCGGTCATCTATTCTCCACAATTGTTGGTGGGCTTCTAAGACATAGCGTGCTAAAAAAAAAACATTCCTGTGATAGTTTTTGTCAGACTCGATGTCAGGGGATAAACGGTCATAACGGTTTGTCGATCAACCTACCGCTGAGATCATGTCTCCAGTCGTCTCCAGTTATTTTGTAAAGGTCATTTCTCTTCTTAGGTAATGATCTTCACCTTTACTAGTTAGTGGTTGTATCGTAAAGTAAAAATAAAAATAACCCATGAGAGGCCAAGGCTAAGGATGGACATCTTCTCCAAGTAGAGACGGCTTGATGTGGATGTCAAATTGGCTATTGGATGTTGAATGTTTGATGAATTTGCGGCCATAGTTCAAATATATATCTTGTCAAATGGGACCAGAGAGGCGTTACAGACACGTGAATACATATCTATGTACTTGTCAGGGATTTTTCTTCTCCACCAGACCCTGGTACAATCACGCTGTATTTGATTATCTCTTTTAAAAAGGAAATCCTACCACATATGAGCTTCTCACTGGGACGCGACCTGTAAAAATCACTTATTTATCAAGGGCGTCTGGTTGATGCATTTCTAGTTGCCGTAAAAAGGCAACCAGGATAGTCTATTAAAAACTGGTGGGGGGTTTTCCGTATTAAAAACAACCGAGTTGCAGAAATTACACTTCAATCGTGTATGATTTATCATTACTGCGAGCAGGCTAGTGCGACCAGTTGCGATTCTGACAGTTCAGATCGAAAGGCGAGAGACATCGTGGGGGAAATCCAGTGTACCCCTGATTTAATGCCCCAGACATGCCGTGCTATCGTATGATGTACGATGTACTCGGTACGATGTACGGAGTACAAATAATGTTGTCAATGAAGGATTTCAGCCTCGGTTGTGATCGGTCTCATCGGGATTCAGCATTGTGATATTCTTACTTTGCGCCTTGTCCTCACCCATTATCCTGCAGGTGGAAAATCCCCCAATCGTAGAGATCATTACTGCATTCATGCTCGGCAGATAGGAGTGACCTACCATGCATGCACTAAATCTCCAGTGCGCACGGAGTGCATCGCAGAGTGGCTGAAATCCACGGATCCGGCTGGCGCACTGGGCTCTCATGATGCAGCGACGTGCAGCAAACTGTGTAGATCGATTGCTCGCAGCGGTTGATTTCGGATCCGTCAACAAGTCTATTGTGCGATTATGCGCTTATGTTGTATACGCCGCATTTTCTCACGCTTAGAGCAAACACCGCGTCCTGGATGTGGCCTGTGCATCAAGTGACTCTGATGCACTGAGAACCAAATATGTATCAGACTCGGGATTTGCTCTTGCTTATATGCAGGGAAAAGATATCACACAAATGTGTCTTGTAGGCTGATCGATCATTCCAACCGTTCGGAGTACACCGTTCACCGTATGGCTATGGTACGGAGAGAAAAAAGACCCCCATAGATCAAGGATATCAGATCTTTTTTTGAGGCTATTGCCTTTTCTTTTTTTTTTCCCCACCGTTTTTGGATCGACTTTTTAGAACTTTGGTCCGACCGTTGGACCATACGATGTATATCGTACATCATATTATGGGTCCAGTCTGTGCGCTGAAGTTGTGAGGCGAATGGGGCCATAGAAGCTCTCTGCCGTGCCACGCTTGGGGCTAGAAAGTAGGGGTAAATCAGTACCAAGTGCTCCGTACTCTGTACTTTGTAGACTGGAGAGTACCCCTTGTGAAGAGATACTGTTGCAACCTAGATTTGATGCCAACATAACTTAAGAAAATGGATTCTCCATATGAGAGTTTTGATAAAGTGTTAGAGAATCTCTTAACACAAAATAGTTAAATATTAAAGTAGTAGGAAACCCGAAACTTCCAAGACACTATAAGAGAAAAGCGCCAAAAACTATCGGAGCCCGAGCTCTGATCCGGGACTTTACGCAGGGCGCCTGGAAAGGCAACCGGCCCATCCTATCTCCTCTCTTCTCTTTTCCCATCATAGATCCTAGTTTTTCACCCTTTTCATCCTTTTCAACCCTATATAACCAAGATAGTCCCTATATTATGAATGTCAGGGTCTAAATGGCTGAGATGGAGCCGCGATCTCGCCAATAAACGTCCCGTGTTCGATCTCGATCGAAAGCTTAAGCAACGTGTGTTGCAATACCCTTGCGATCCGATCCTTTTCGGCGGGGACTTCAAGGGGGTAGCGTGTTCCGAGACTGAAGAATTATGTATTTTATTTTATTATTCTTTTTGGGAATATTTTATTTATTTTAGATTGCCAAATTTGCTTTTTCCTTTTTGTGATTTCACCTGCGCCCGATCTTGGCTTGAAACGGCGTGGCTCAGTGACGTAAATGATATTGTTATTTGTTTCTGAGCAATGAGACTGATTATTATTTATATAAGTATGAATATAATATAAGTAAGAAATAAGATAACATATAACTAAAGAGTGTATATGTAAAGAATATAAAGAATGTAAAGAGTATAAGATAAAAATAAAAATAAAAAATAACCATAAACATAAAGTCGAGTGAACCATGGTTGTAATCCGGACGTCGGGCACTTTCAGATCTGACTGTGTAACCTCAGCCACGTCTCTGATTCCCCCAGTTGCGATGGAAAGAGCCCCTCTCCCCATTTGAGAGATCTTTGAATTAATGTAGCATACTCGCTTGTGCATCTTGTGTTTCCCCTTGACACTACTTGGGGTTGCATGTCCCCCTCGATTGCTTTTTGAGTCATTTTGTTCCCTTTAAGGGCTTTATATTTTGCGCACAGGTTCATAACCAGAGTTGAAAAAAAAAAAGTGTGTATCTTCTATTGCTTTCTAAGGACTACTGTAGTATTATAGTATAATATTGTAGTGCTGGTAGTACTCCAGTACTTGTACCGGGATAGATCTGACATCATGTCCTTCACTATTAATAAGCCCTAGTCTAACCAGTCTAACCAGAGGTTGGAGGTTACAGCAGGTTCATTTCATAGCCCGAGGCTGACATCTTATCCACTTTTGAATCGGAGATCTCTCTCATGTGACACAGATGCATATACAGGTACTCATACATGATACTTGTCAAAGACAAATGAGATTAGATTTATCTGTTGTTATATAGTTATATAGTATAATATAATCCATATATATAGGGAGTAATAGTTTTCCAGTATATGGAGTACTGGCATATCAGCTAGAACTATTTAGCTTCTCTTCTGGTTGGACCACTCTACCGGGATTCAGCCGTCCCTTAGCACGTTCAGAATCAGCCGTTTCTCTCGATCCTACTATGTAAGTTCTGGGGTAGGCTAATTTCCCTTTTTTTTTTTTTTTTTTTTTCTTGCTTCTTCTTCTTTTTTTTCACTTGCCAAATAGATATATTGTGGGTAACATATAGAAATATCATGTACTACAAAGAGATTGAAGGTTCCTGACCAGTGTCGCATTGTGTACACCGAGGCCACCCTGCAGATTCCAGAAGTATGTAATTACATGGGTAATTAGATATGCACAGCCTTTACTCCATAAGAAGAACTGTAATTATTTTGCTCTCCACAGATATACTTATAAAACCCCGAATGATAGGTATGATCCCGATGATCCGGGTAATTTGCCTTGTAAAACCATGTCATGACGATCTGGCAATTTCCCAAGGTAATTTTGTTCCCCCCCTGTTCGGATCTCGATCTATTTTATCTTTTAATCTTTTATTTTTTAATCTTTTACTTTTTTTTTGAAAAAAATATTTCTGAATAATTATTTTTTTTCATGTTTTTATATTATTTCTATATATTATTTCCCATACTATATATATATATATATATATATATAAAATAAATAAAACATTAAGTTCCTGTGCTCCTCTCTAAGCTTCCCGTTTTAAATCTAAAGCCCGAAATGAAAGTAGCCTCGATCCCCTTTGATTTTCCCCTCTCTTAAGTTTATTTTCCCTTTTATATTTATCCCCATTCCACCTCGTGCTTTCATATTTGGATTGACATTCCCATTTCCACGCTTTATATCCCTTGCGTTTGCGATCTTGACCTTTTTTTCTTTTTTCTTTCTTTTTTCCTCTTTTTTGGTCAGATTTTATCATCTTTTTTTTTTCTAAATTTGTTTTTGGAGGGGTTTCTTTTTATTCCTCTCTATCTCTCCCTCTCTCTCTCTCTCTTCTATATTTTTTCCCCCTAAGTTATCATTTGTACTTTGGAAAGAAAAAGAGAAGGAAATAAAGGGAGAAAGATAACTGGTTAACTTGTACGGCTTACACGGGCTCCATCTAAACGCCACAACTTCCAACCTTCGCCCCCCGGGATCTTTGGTTCCATCGTTTGGGATCTTTGGAAAATCGGGGCCTACTCTTCTCTTTCGAGGTGGAACGCTTTTCCCTATACATTTGGAAGTTTGTTCCTTTGAGCTTGGATAATATCATCACATATCTACTCTAAAACGTGATGGGGTCTTTGGAAGCTGCACCTAGGCACAGGTTGGTTTTGCGACCTCGCTGTCAGTTCCCTACTAACCTTCGAACTACAGAGACCCTTTACCCGCCATAGGTTTTCTAGGGAAAGACGGATCGGGATATACCTCCAGACACCCTTCTAGTGTTACCTCCTCTCCAACCCCTCTGATGAGTCCTAACGTCATGTACGGACAACCCCTACCTTACTCCTACGCGTCGAATGCGCCACCAGGGTACATCTCGTCGCCGGAGGCACGTCGCGCCATTGAAGATGAGAAGGAAAAACACACCCCAAGACAATCCCTGCCATCAATCCACGAGGCCCTCGGCAATGATCCTCTCCCATACCCTGCATCCACCTCCGCTCCTCAACAACAACCCACACACCCTGCGCCTTCGCATCTCACCGGGCGACCGAGCGCAGAAGGTCCAGTTGGACCACCTAATCCTTTCTCGAATGGACATCCGACGGGACCTTTGATGCGGGACTCTTTCCCTCATCAAGCTCAGTTGCAAGATACATCGCGCTCCAGCCTCGCCTCCATCAACACACAGGATTCGCGCAACCCTTCACTACACTCCATCAGCACGGGCAAGTCCCCTACACAGAGCTCCAAAACAGGAATCACTTCAATTGGATCGCAAAATTCATCCGGGTACGAGTACAGTGCGCCAACCTCCGCCGGTAGCGTGACTTCGCCTACTGGTTATGGTCATTTCCCTCCAAATTACTCCTTTCAATCTCAGTCCAGTCACTCATACCCTCCTACTCCCTACGACAATCGTCCCTACATGGGCGCACCGCGCGTGGAAGAAGTCAAGGGTGCATTTGTGGGTCGACCAGGTCCTCCCCATAATGACTCTGTCAAGCGGCATCTGGATGTCTATGATGTGGAGACATCTTTGAATGAGGTATGGATTTTCCTTTTCCTTTTTTTTTCTTCTTCTTTTTTCTCTACAAATCCCTTTGAACAATGTGGATGAAATTGAGAAATGGCTTGATCAACGTTCCGAAATTACATGGACTGACATTGTGGAACAGATCGCCGAATTGAGTACGCGAACCCTAGACTTTTCACGGCACTACGCGGCTCGCGCACATCAGACACAACGGTCTGGCCCGATATTAGGGTCTCTCCCTTCGCTAAATGAAGTGGAGGACATGCTTCACATGCAACGGCGGAACCAAGATGCTCTGATTCGGATACGTACAGCCGTGGTGAACCAAGAACATGCTCTGGCCGAACAGATGGCTCAGCGAAAGGCGTTCAAGACCGAAGATGAACACATGGCGATGTACCAAGAAGAGTTCAAAGGAACGGGCGGATTTGCAGGCGCAGACCCAAAGAAACGACGTGGAGTAAGTTTTTTGGACCTTTCCCCTGGATTGGCACTGTATCAACAGTGGTTGACATGCCTGTCATAATTCCCATCCGTGAATATATTGGGCTAACCACGTTTTTACAGAAAGCGGCCCCTCCTGGTCGTTGCCACAGCTGTAATCGAGCCGAGACACCAGAATGGCGCCGGGGCCCCGATGGTGCGCGGACTCTCTGTAACGCCTGTGGGTTACATTACGCCAAGTTGACTCGCAAGATGGGCGCCCACAAAGCGGCAAGTTTGGGTTCAAATCTGAAGCCCAAATCGGTTCTTGACTCCGCCTCACCAACCAGTCATTAAGCTTCTTTTTTTTTCTTTCCATGTGGCGTTGAAAAAAGGTGGGAAATAGAAAGGCAATGGAGTTCATTGGCCATTTTCTTCGGGAATTCTGCTATTTCCTCCCCCCCCCCCTTGTTCGGCATCTTTCGCTGGTTTTATGTCTTCCCTTTGTGATCTTTCCCCCTTATGTTCTAGGACTCGGTGCTTTTCTTATATAATACCCCCCAACAGCTTCCAAGGAGAGAAAAAAAACGGCTTTAGCATAGATATCCCCCTTTGATGATTCAATCGCCATTGGCCTGGTCTGAAACTGGTTTCTTTACTTTTTCTGTTTTTTCCCCCTCCTTTTGTTTGCCCCCCCTTCAATACCGTCATTGGTTTATACCCTGCATTTTTATGGTTGTTCCCTGGGCTGTTCTGTTTGAGTATGTCCCTGATATGATGTGTGTACGATCGTGCCTTATTCAGCGTTACATTTATGGTTCATTTTAACGGGTTTTTTTTATTCGATATATATATTTGATATTCAATCAGATTTTTACGATACTCTTTTTATCCTACAATCCAAATATCATCTCTTTTAAATCTGCATGTAGACTCGGCCGAGGAATGGTTCCCGAGAGATCTAAAGATTCTAGAATTCTACGATCTAAATATCTCAATTCTATCTAGTTCTAATTATAATTCTCCCGTATGGCATGATGCGAAATTTGATCTAAAATTTTGTGGGCGTTCAGCCACACGCATTGTGGCGATTGGAAAAAAATTTTATGGCATGATTTCCTTGGCTGTTTTCGAAGGCCCGATTCGCTATACAATCTATATTGTGCCTAATCTATTAAGTATTAAATGAAGATTTGTAATTCATTTTTAATTTACATGTGGGTTTTCTAAGATTTTAGATCTGAAACTATACTCGATAATCCGAACATTTTTGTAGAAATCGTTTCTAGTATATATATCAGTTAAATCAAAAACGGGATTCAACTAGCGGGGTTCGAATGTCATTCGCACATATTTGTGTTCAGATAATCAGATCCGATCTATTGGGGATCGGGATCGGACATGAGATCTGAAATTAAAATTTAGATTAAATACAAAATTAATAAACTTAACCCTTCCAATATAAGCAATATACAGGTAACATGCAGTATACTATAATGTAACATAATATATCAAATTTACACTTATTATACTCCGTGGAGTTACGGAGTACAAAGCACATGTACTTTCTAAGTACGGAGTACGGAGTAGCCTTATTTACAGACCGCCACTGTGTAGTAAGATTAAAAAGCCTTATTTGTCATTGTCAAGATTGACAGCTTAGTTCATCCACATGGGGAATCTATGTTCGGAGGAATCGCCATTCCGGTGGGAGAGTATATACTTCACCAATGCTCACTTAGGAAGTAGTGATTTTGTTTTGTTTTTCTCTTTTATTTATTTTGCTTAGTTTAGATAGTGATAAAATAGTACGGAGTATGTACTCCATATTTGAATAAATCCATACATTCTTGGGGGAAAAAAAGGAGCTAGCAGGGTTGGCAAAATCGAATCGATCGAGATCCAAGATCCTAGATCCCAGATCCCACGTTCGTCTATCCCTGTGGGGATCTATTAGCCGTACCCTGTATACACGTCCTTTGTCTACTATCTACTATATGTAATATTCTCATAGAGATTCAAAAATGAAGAAAATCAAAGAAAACCCAGAAAACCAGAAAACCAAAAAAAAAAAAAAAAATAGACGAAACCCAAATGGCCAACTTTGGAAAGAGCCTTAGGAATGTAGGTTCCGTTTTAGGACATGCTGAGTCATCCACCTTTGGACCGGGGCTGAACGCCTGGGGCAGCTTTCTCTTTACTTCCGAGGTCTATGGCATGATGTCCTTTGCCACAGGATTTGGAACCCGTTTTTTTTTTTTTTGCAGCAAATTTCCTTTCTTCCACCGTCTGGAATCATCCCGAGACCCGGCCGAGACACCCCCGGGAAATCCGCTCTCCATAACTTTACAACCGTTTCAAGGAGTCTTTCAGTCCACGGTAAAGAGGCGTCACAATCTGTATGTCGCGCATTGGACCGGTTCTCTATGAAAATCTCCATATCATACCGGGGGATCCCAGAGAGAAAAAAAAAGGGTTAACTTTGGTGTGTCCGTTCACCGTGCTTGGACAACATTGCCGAAATTCTTTCGGCAGATAAGCGAAAAAAAAGTAAAGAGCAAAAAAGCAAAAAAGCAAAAAAAAAGCGTACTCTATATGGAGTACATAGGGAGGAATATCATATGGAACCATCTCTACAGATAATATTTTATGCGATCTTTTTGTCTACACCGACTTATAGTACAAAGTAGAAGAAAAATATAATGACGCTATTGATCGTCAATAAGCCTATTCTGTACTCCGACCCATAAGCCTTGGATCGCCGATACGAACTCAATCTTGCCGTGAGATCGTATACTAGATTGCATTCAATAGTTCGGTGACCGGCGAACTGTCCGTTGTGGGGGCGTTGCGGCGACCACGGGGACAGTTTCTCCTGTCTTTTGCACTAAATGTCGGTGTATTCCTCTAGAGGCCCACGCGAGCTTATCTCGTGGCAGATTGCTCAAAGAACGCAACTCGTAGATCGGCATCTAAATCAGGCTGGCCTCTCCCTCGTCGAGTTAGGGATATATACAGGAATGAGATATAATGAGATATCCTGAGTGGAGCGTTAAGCTACTTGTTTTTCTGTTCTTCTACCTTCCCTTAACTGTTGTATTAGGCAGTAGTATACTACTGCCTACAACATACGTAGATGTCCACAGGTATACGGAGTATACGGAGTATTTGGAATATAGACTATCGGACTTGGCCGTCGAAGGCGTACGGGAATAACGGACTTGCAGTAGTCTTCCGCATCTGTACATCGTATATGTACGTATAAATTATTTTGCATTGTATTTTGCATTGTATTTGGTGTTTTTTTTTTGGTTTTTTTTTTTTGGTTTTTTTTTTTTGTTTTTTTTTTTGCAAAAAAAAGAAAAGAAAAGCTAACATTACATTACCAACTGCAGCGGATCTATCCGAAACACTCAGGTTTAACACCATATAAATATATATGTTCTGTACTACCAAGTATGAAGAATATTCATGATCACCGAAAAACAAAACTATTATAGAAACTTAATCCTCAGATCAACTAGACATATGATTGGACGCCTAACTTGGGGTCAATATCTTCGTTTTCCGTTTTCCGTTTGACTGAGATTGGATCTATAGGTGAACTCCATATATTGAAATCGAGTACCCTTTTTTTTTGGTGGAAAGTCTATCTCACTAGAGCCAATAATACGAGATCGTGGGGGTTTGTGGAGACGGATCGAATTCCCGACCGACTGGGACCGACTATTGATTTCAACCATTTCTGGGTTAGTCTTGAGATTTCCTTTTGAATCGGTGTATATTGTATAAATACATTATTACTTGGGTAGACATGCATGAAGATCTGCAGACGGAGTACGGATTTACTGCAATGCAGGCTGCGAGTTTTTCAATAATTCAACTCTGCATCCCCGAGATCGAGCGAACTGCATCTTCCCGAAAACCCCAGATTGAGCATCCGAGATCTCCCGGAAATGGCTTGCAGGATGAACCAAAAAAAAAAAAAAAAGGAGGCAACCATTTTTTTTTAAAAAAAAACCACTACTCCGTAGTCGTGCATGAAAAGTTTCAAATCGTAGAATTTCAGCCCCGCCCCGATCTCGATGATAGTCCACGCAGGAGATCCTTACTCAATGCAAAGTATCCCCCACCTGTAATCTGAGATTGGTTCCAAGGCAAGCACGATGACTGGAAATTATGGCGGTGAGCTTTGGAATGTATGATGTACAACTCCGGTAACCCCCCATTGGAAAAACAAAAAGGCTGGGCAGGTATATCGGGGGGTCGTCGGCATGTGAGATCCTGTGTCTTGGGGTGAATTTGTGCGCTGGCCACGTCACGGGGTCTGATCCATTCTAAGATGCTCATTCTCCATGCGAGTCTGGTGCGTATCTCACACGCAGCCTCCGTCGTAAATCGGAACTCCTAGTTTTATGTGTGGAGACGGCATAGTTCGTCCAACATGGTTTTTTTATTTTTTATTTTATTTCTTTGATCGGACGCGCGCGATAAGCGCGTGGAGTGGGACAACTAGATTCCTGAGAAGAGCACAAATCTAATAGAGCCAGTATAGCTGTGGATACGGAGTAGACATTTCAGTGACCCACTACTATGCATCAAGGTCGACTATCATGACTATCATGTATAAAATTGTGTCACTACAGATCGATTTTAGGAGGGGTTGGGTCTAAAAGGGTGAGATTTGGGGGACACAAAAAAGACATTATTGAAGCTTCTAGAGACTTCGGAGAGGAATCATGGTTCTAGAATACGAGATATATACTTCTAAGGTTGTGTATATTGTACAATCTTAATCCCCATCTAGAGTTTTATTGAACGGGGTATCTATATATTGTGGCTGCAGGAGCTAGAATTGTTGAGGTACTTCTTTTCATCACTTGGCTACAATATAAATTGAATGTCTTAAACTGCTATTAAAGAGAGGAAAGTATAAAGTTTTTAAGGCTCTTGGCGTAATTCGACTCCAATCCAGTGATGCAATACCCATGTGGTTCCATGGTTCGAGGTAATTCCCGAGATCGGACCTGGATCTCGGATCCAGTTTCCGCCCCATGGAACCTTGGAAGCTTCTATCGCCAAAAATCTTGTGCAACCGAGTTAATATACTTGATCCCGTCTTTGCGCCATGTATCAGCCTCCATACGACTGGTAACATTGGCATTGAGACAGAGATCAACTGGTTTCCTGGAATAAGAATCCCAATATACAGGTGTTTTCACAACACCCGGGTTTGGATCAAGATCGTGGATAAAAGATGCCCACATGCTCGCCATCATAGAACTGAGGTCAATGTATGACTGCGGTACACCAGCAAACGGTTTACCATAGTGATATCCCAGTCCGGCAATGTTGTAGAACACAAATGCTACTTCCTCGAAATGAGCCACACCCAAAAAGGCTGGTATATCTGCCGAGCGCACATTGAACCGGTAGCAATATGCTGGGGTGGATGTCTCGGCCCATGCTTCGCATTGACGTCGGCGATTGGCATGCATGAACCAGTCGCCTGCGAAGGCGGAAGTACGGCGCCACTGGAGGCCGTTTGAAGGCACGCGCTGGTCTCCGAGATATGCTGGAATGCCTTGCGATGGGTCGTCGGGGTAGAGTTTTAGGATGCGCTTCGCTACAGAGGCGGGTGTTTGGAAGTTTAATCCGCCCTCTGAACGGGTTAACTCCTTGAGTTTGATAGAGTAGAATATTGATATAAATACCTGCTAAATATTGATACCATTGCTCTGTGGTGTTGATTCCTGTCGGTCCGAATGACGTTCCCTCGTCTGTGTTGCTGCCCGCAATAATAGGAACTTTCACGAATGCATGCTTGTTCAGTTGGATACTCCCCCAGTTCTGAATGAAGTCCCCGTCTACAACCGGCGAGAAATTGTAGTCAGACTCGCCCTCCGTGCCATTCAGGACAGTGTTAAGCGTCTCAAATGGTACTTCACGAAGGCACTGCAACGAATCCATGGCATCCAGGCAGCCTACCTTGGAGGCCAATGTGTTGTAGTCTGATTGGAACCTCGTATTATTTCCGGAACTGGGGGTTATCGACCCGCCAGACTGCATGATACCGGCTCGGAACAGCTTGTCATCTCTTCCATTGTATGCTGTAAGGTGATACCCCACTGACATGGCACCTGCCGACTCGCCCCATATGGTGACTTTCTTGGGATCGCCGCCAAAGGCGCCGATGTTTTCTTGGACCCATTGAAGTGCCAGCCTCTGATCCCTCAATCCAAGATTAGTGTTTCCGCTGTCGGAGACTTGACTAGAGCTTATAAAGCCCCACGCTGACAGTCTATAATTCAGTGTGACAGCGATGAACGGTTTGCCTTATGATTCTAATTAGACCAGGCTTCCAAGTAGTATCCAAAGAGGAAGATGGGATTCTTACCAATTTGATACGATTTTTCCACAATCGCAGACATGTTGTAACGCTCATCGGCCCCAGAGCCTTCAGAAAATCCACCGCCATGAATCCACACACCAACAGGAAGTTTCGAATTTTTGTTCACAGATGAACTACGGATTACGTTCAGGGTAAGACATGCTTCTGACTGAGGATACCAAATCGAGTCCGTCTAATTTTCGTAATTTTTGCATTGGTAAGAAGCATCCTTGGAATATAAGCGAAAGAATTGTACTCACACCATATCCAACACAAATATCCGAGTACTGTGTCGCATCACGTGGACCATCCCAGCTCACATTTAATGACTGCGGCACAGTAAAGCGCAGATTACCCACTGGCTGAAGGGCATACGGCATACCCAGGAAGAAATCCTGGTTATAGGTTGAGCTTCGCACTCCAGTATAAGTTCCATTGCGCACTGTCACCGTGGGAGATGATTTTGTAAGGACAGCATGAACTGCTGTCCATAGAAGAAAGCCGGTCGCAAATCCAAGCATAATGATATAAATTGACACACCCTTGCCCACTGTAGTCCTCCCATGATGTATTTCAAGTTTCATTTATAGTATATTATCGCTGAAAGTCCAAGGACGTGCGTGTTGCGGGGAAGATATGATCGACATTCGAAAGTGCCACCGGTTGTTATTGTTCCGGTCATGCAGCAAAACAAGATCTCGGCAAGTAGGAACAATAGGCTATTGGAGTAGTATCCGGATTATCTACCAGATTTAATTCGGCCATTTTCAATCAAAAATTTGAACGGACGATTGCCTGTTTTTGGTCATATTAATTCATCTGAAGATTAGTTGAAGCTTTTGTGCTTCCGAAGTAAGTTTCATGAACATATATGAATATCTTGGGAAATATAGTGAAAATGAGGTAGCTTAGCAGTGTTGCCACATGCCCCTAATAGTCACACAAGCATCAAGCCTGACGAAAAGAGTATGGGAAACATTGTAGGATGAAAAATCTAGTCCAAGCACCAAATAAGCCGATGTGTGACACGAAGCACTTACCCTTGTATGACAGCAAGATCGTAGGGTTCCTGAAATCCTGAAGTCCAACAAAGTTAGACAAAGTGTAACAGACCGAAACAACAGACCGATAGACACTGTAACGGTGACAGCTGTGACCCGAATAATAGTGAGTGGTATACATTCGTAAGTACACATGTATATAGAGTTGTTTGTTTCTTGAAACTGAGTAAGACAGAAGATATAACAAGACCCTCTCCCACTATAATGGTGACTTTGACGACCAAATCATCTTATCAGCAATGTGCTGGTCATCACCAACCCGGTCTCGCACTAGAGCAGCAATTCAACTAGAATCCGATGAAACAGCCGCGATTATCGCGGTCACGCAAGGATTCCTCGCAGCATTAAGCACCAAGTCACGCGCCGATTTCGAGAAACACTGTATCCGGGCAGGAGGGATGACACTCTCGCCTCCATCGCCGACCTCCCTGCGCTTCTGTACAATTGGTTCGTTCGTTGAACATGTCGCTGGACTCAAAGACGACATCGATGAGCGTATCTGGGATCCTGAGGTGAAGGTGCACGAGACAGGAAGCCTGAACTTGGCCGCTGTATGGGCGCCATTCCGGGCGAAGATCAATGGCGTTGTGGATCATGTTGGTGTGGAACTTTTTGTTCTGCATAAACTCAACGGCAAATGGAAGGTGACTGGGCTCGCGGACTCGTGTCGGTTGCCGACTGAAGACGAAATGCTGCTGGAATGAATACTTTGGTTGGGCACACTTGAAAAATGAGAAAAATTAAAATTCATCAGATGCTGTGACAAAGAGGGCTGCCTCCAATTGTCATAAATATGTGCAAATTATTTCAAGCTTCCGCTATACATGCTCACACCCTGGACATCTAGTTGTGTGTGTGTAGATGCCTCTGATCTAGACCTTTTTGCCTCGGAGAAGTTCCCACCCGACTGATCCCTTTTTGCCTTCTTTAATAGTCATCTCCTCAACAGCCTTAACTAGATCGTAGGTGATCTCCTCAGAAACAACACTGTCCTGCTTGTAGCTAGGATGCTTGGCTACAAACTCACGCATCCAACGAGCTCCAGTCCAAAGAGTTCCATCGGCCCGTTTCCGGATCAAGTCAAGATAGCTGGCTAGGAAACACCTGGTCTCGACGTCAACATTGACGCTGTTGAGGTAGGACTCAACAAGCGGGATGAGACCTGGGAATGATCCGTCTGCGCATCCATTCACAATGTCGTCGATGCTCATGAGATCAAACTCTGTGTCAACGGGACCGAGAGGAGGCGATGGAGGTGGAGTGTTCACAGCCGACGATGTCGCAGATGAGAAGGTGCTGCCGTTCGTGGACTGCTGTGCGCTTCTGGGCACCCTGCGAGGGAAAGGGTCCTTACGGAACCAGAACTTCCGATCAAGAACAGCGTTGCGAGCGTGGGCCGTCTCCATGTTCTCTGTGGTACGCTGAATCGGGATATAGAAGTTGAGATCGAAGCTCAGGATGGCGCGGGTGATGAGGACGATGAAAATGCTAAATGCAGCGTTCTCGAAATCTGTGATTTGGATCTCCATAGACCGGAACTCAACTCTCCAGCCAATATCACTATCAGGTGGCGGCGGCTTGAAGCGCATATGCTGCCAATTAGTGGACTGTAAATTCTCAAAGTGGTCACTCTTGTTAAGATCTAGTTCTTCCAGATCCTCAGAGAAAATGACCAAGGGATCACGAATAAACAAGTGTGCGAAATGCGTCGCAAGTAAATCATCCATTCCCCCGTCCATAAGGCGTTTCTTAATATCCTCATCAACAACTAGATCAGGGTCGAAGTATTCTTTCCGGAGACGAGGATCCTGGGATATGTAAGTCGAATTGGAGGCATATCGCGACTTGGGAATTCTCCACCGGTCGTTCTTGAGAGGCTGCGAGAGGTTAGTTCGGTGAGCCAAGGGTAGCATTCTGGAAAACTTACAGCTTCGCCAAGTTCCTCAGGTGTCCTATCATCGACTGCATTACCAATTTGGTTCCATCGCACATCTGTGTCCACCAGAAAACCTTTATAGATGGGTGTAGCGGCGGTCAGGGCTAGAAGAATCGGCCCCAAGGGACTCAGTTGGTCATATAGTCTTCTGCCCTCCGTCATATTCTTTGCTTGAAAGGTGATCTGCAGGCAACAGCTGCCCATTCCGAATGCCATGGCGTCCATGTAAACATGATCGTCCTTAGCTGCACCGTTGCGGACGTCGTCATCCTCAGGCCAATTATGAAGGTCGTAGTTAACTGTTGGATCCTTGAACGGTCTGGGTGTATTTATGTCATGGAAAACGGGTACATTCAGTTCAACCTTACGACCTCTTCGAGATCGAATGTTGGCAGCCAGAGTAGGGAATCTGATATGGGGGTTGGCAATCTCATCAGGAACAAACTGCGAACGGAGAGCTGGTCCAGACGGAGGATAATATGGCTGGATGTAGTCATCCTTGGTTCCCAGCCGAGGGAAGGTTGTTAGGGTGATGGGGACTTCATTCGGAGCCATGTGCGCTTTCGCAACCTCTCGTCTTGGATGTTATTAGTATGCTTCAAGTCAAGTTGTATTGCCGAAGGAGCTCACCTCCACTTCATATTGGACTCCACTTTGAGTAGGTCTTTAAATCCGATTCCCCAAGGCTGTCCAGGAGTAGCCTCCAACATGAACCTTCCAAATTCAGGGTGGAAATGAGGCGGCTCCTCTCCCTCACTGGTTGCTGTCAGATTTACTAGCCCCTGTCTGATATCAAATAACACTCACTGGTCCCCGGTTTCGCTGCCCTTGCCGGAACCAGACTTCCACAGCTCCTCGTCTCTTGCCAGTGATTTCAGAATCTCGGCCTGGGCTAGAGATAGCCTTGATTTCTTTGCCGCATCGTCGAGAGCTACCACGAGGTATTCAACCTATCATAGAAGGTATTGATTAGCGATTGCGACCGAGAAACAATATGTGGGCCAGAAAAACATACCTCGTCGCCCCAAAGAAGAGCATCGCGTTCTTTGCCTCGTGCCCTGCGCCAATTGGCAAGTAATTGCTAATCAAGTCAGACACATCGAGGTTGTTTCATTATCGAACTAGACAAATCGAACACAAGCGGCATACCTCGATACCCCACTGCCGCACCTGGCCCGCCTTTTTCTTGGCCTCCGGCCATTCCAGCGCTGTTCCAAGTGCTCTGCTTGAGATTAGAGGGATTCTAAATATCAAGCCAAGCCTCTCAAAACACATACAGAAGTCCCATCGTGTCAAAGATGTAGGTCTCAAGCTGGCAAACACAAAATACTCAGGCACAAGTAAGTATAAGGTAGAAGAGTCAAGACGATCCCAGAGTGGATAGGAGAGTTGAAATTCAAAGAACCAAGAGAGATCAAAGGAGTGTAAGCCTGCGCATAGTCCCCTTTTTAATTGATTCTCTTTAATGTCTGGCAAATCGCAATGAGGGGGACAATTTTTCGGTGGCCGGCCGATTTTCTGGCGGGGGCGGCGATAACGGCGGGAGTTTTATTTCCCCAGGACCGGTGTCCGTTCAACTTGTATTATTAATCATGATTTGTCAGTGGACAGCTCCCAAGATGGGCAAGGTTATCCCATGAAGGTTTTTGTATAGGGTTGTTCGTATTTGATTCATTTAGGGAATCTTGAACATGGAGTGGTGTAGAAAGGCTTGAGGTGGTGAGATGAGATCCTTCACTTGCGTCTTCAAGGATCATCATAGGAGCATCTATTATAGGCCCGAGCGTTGTATAGGTACAAAGGGAAAGAAAACAAAGTCATAGATATGGTAAACCGACGCCAAAATTTATTTGAATCATGTTCAATTCTCTACAAACTAAGCTAAACTGTGAAGATAATGCCGACATAAAGGTGGAAAGCCAGTGCCCAAATTTGAAAATATCACAAGCATAAAAGATCTCACGACTATAAGAGGAATTTATTGATATGATTCAATGATGACTGTGTCAAACCTGCACAAAAATAAGAATCATTTAAGTACATATGTAGGTATCACGTTATAATGCAATGTTATGTGAGATGTTCATCCAGAGATACTATCTGGGTAGCTCTTCATCAAGAGCTATATGCTGCGCACAACTCTTGGGCTTGTTCAACGCATCTATGTGTTTTAATTATCATTATGAACCTACGACAACTAGCGTAATGTCGTGCATACCACAGATCGGTAGCAATACAGCCAATAAAACCTACCGCTTAAGCTTATAAAGCCGCAAACGATCATTGGACGCAGGACTACGGAGTAAATGGTGTTTGATTAGACAATATGCTTTGGTCATAGGTCAACAGGTTTAGGTATAGGGAAGAAACTTTTAGAACAAGCAGCCCAAATGAGCTTCATGAGCTTTGCATTGGTAGGCCATAACAAGAGATGATTGCCGAGAACAAAGTAGTGCAACCTAAATTCGCCAAAAGAACTATACAATTCTAGCACCTTTATCACTGAGGAACTGCAAGGAATTCACCAGTCAAGCTCTCAGTGTTGTATGGTTCTTTTTGCAAAGTGATTTACTCTACTCTGTAGGGCTATACAATCTGCACTCAAGCTATGGATATCTGGAAAAGACAAGTTGTCCACGGACACATGCCTAACACGAAAAACAAGGCGACCTGAGAAATATGCTGACTATCAATCTAGCCTGTATCAACTAGAGCATCAAGTTACAGATGCAATTGTCGTTCAAATAGCTGAAGAAGAAAATCAAGTGGCCGATTTCGATGAAAGGTCCCAACGCCAAAAGGCAATCCATAAGCAATTTCGGTGTATCTCTTATTTACATATCCTGCTGCTTTAGCAGCAGCACCGACCGCGCATACTAACAGTCCCACAATTCAGTTGCTCCGGGCGCCATCCTTGGCAGCACGCAACTCATCCATCTTGGCCACACGCTTCTTGAACTCTTCGTATTGGCACTTCTCGTATGAGTGCCGTTCATTCTAAAGAGAAAGAAGAGAATGGTATTAGCTGACTAGCTCTGGAAAGCGCTCTGGGCGCATCAGGTTGTGTTGGAACATCAAAACGAAGGGTCTCGTACCTCGCACTTCCAGGGAAGGTAGTACTCTGCTTGCCGGCATCGGTTCAATGGAATCAGCAGGTGTGCACATGAGTCTCTGTACTGCATGGGAAGACGAGCTTCCGACATTTCCTGGCGGGTTGCTGGAATCTGGTCAACTTTCCTGCTAGAGCTTTCAACTGTTGATCAATGGACTTGGAATATTACCGGATGTCTCCGAGAGGCCGACAGCACTCTTAACCGTTTCAATGACAGTCATTTTGTCGAAAATCGAGGGGCGGAAAGGCGAGGAGCGGGGAAACAGAGGCAGGACGGCGTGGTTGGCGATTCCGGCTCGTTTGAGGTTCCTGCTGGGCCGATATTGGTCACATGATATCAAATCACATGACAGTATTCCGAAGTTGGATTAGCGCGCACTTTACGCGTCCAGCGCGTATTTGGGATGCCATCCCAAGCTCCACCGAATTGTATCTCTGCGTTCTCGGTCCGGATTTTTATTGCGTGCAATGCATCGAGTGTCAAATCATTTCTAACCCGATCAATTTGTGGATCCTCCAGGGGTGACATTCCGACACCAACGTGCGTGGGTGCCATATCGCTCTTCGGGAACCTACTGAATTGCAGCGGCCAACGGCGACGCACATTATGGCGGGGATAGACACCATCTACTCTGCTACCTATAGCAGTGTAAGTATACTTTAAATTGAATATTTCCATATCTCCAGCATGGGTTTGTTTTCCGTGTTGAATGTGAGCACAACTGACATTCTCACCCCCAGGTCCCCGTCTATGAGTTCAAGCTCGACACTGACAGTGTCATGAGAAGACGAGGGGATGATTGGGTCAATGCAACACACATTCTTAAAGCTGCAGGATTTGATAAACCTGCACGAACGCGCATCCTCGAACGAGAGGTCCAGAAGGGGGTACATGAGAAAGTCCAGGGAGGATATGGCAAATATCAGGGTATGTCTTGAGGTCAATGAGGCCTGAAGAGAAACTTCAGCTTACTAACAAGTCATGCTTGCAGGAACATGGATCCCACTTCAGGAAGGTCGTCAACTTGCGGAACGCAACAACATCCTTACAAAACTAGCCCCGATTTTCGATTATGTTGCTGGAGACCACAGTCCCCCACCAGCGCCAAAGCACACATCAGCTCCATCTAAACCGAGGGCGCCGAGGAAAACGGCTGCCGCAAACCGTGCTGCCGCTGCGGCCGCGGCTGCTGCAGCAGCGGCAGCTTCAGAGACCCTGAAAGTTCAACCTCAGCGCAGCATGGGCCCCCCAACCATTCCACAAGATCACTATGAAATGAATACAGGGTTTGATGATAACGAGTCAATCGGGCACGCTACAATTGAATCATCATCAATGGTCGCAGACGAGGATATGCTTCAAATGTCACATGGCGGACGGAAGCGGAAGCGTGGAGTTGATGAGGCAACCGCTATGTCCATCAGCGAGCAAGAGCACATAATCTACGGCGATCAACTCCTAGACTATTTTATGACCGTGGGGGATGCGCCCGAGGCAACACGCATTCCTCCTCCCGAACCTCCTGCTCATTTCCAAGTCGATCGAGCCATTGATGATTCTGGGAACACTGCACTCCACTGGGCATGTGCGATGGGTGACTTGGGCATTGTGCAAGATCTTCTGCACAAAGGCGCTAACATCAAGGCACTTTCGGAACATGAAGAGACCCCACTCGTCCGAGCTGTTCTGTTTACCAATAATTACGAAAAGAGAACGTTTCCGACTCTGTTAGATATGCTTCTGGATACTGTCTCTTTCCGAGACTGGTTCGGTGCTACTATCTTCCATCACATTGCAGAGAATACTCGAAGCAAGGGAAAGTGGAAGAGTTCACGTTATTATTGCGAAATTCTCCTCGATAAGTTATGCAAGACATGCTCGCAAGATGAGATACAAATGTTGTTGTCATGTCAGGATCAGAATGGAGACACCGCTGTCTTGGTCGCTGCTCGCAATGGCGCATTTCGTCTGGTGAACATTCTTCTTGTGCATTGTCACCGCGCTGGCGATCTGGTGAATAATAAAGGGGAAACCGCCAGCAGTATCACACAACGTTCGCAACATCATGATCATGAGATTCCACCGGCCCCATCTTCTGTCACCATGGCCAATGACCATATGGATGTTGAGGTCACTGGTCTTGTGGGCGCAGATCGACAGTCCATTGCTCCAATCCCAGATGCCCCTGCGACCTCTGAGCTCCTCTCCAAGATTGGAAAAATCATGGCCGAGGCTAATAAAAAGCTTGCTGTGACCTATGGAAACTCAAAGATCAACCAGCAAGATTCCAATGATGTCACCAATCCCGAAGCTTTACACGAGCAATTGGAATTCGACCGGCAGAAGATTCAGAAGCAGCTCTCTGCATTGGCGGCTAAGGAGGCTGAGCATGAACGCAGCGACGACCAAGCTGGTCGATATGAAAAATTGCGGGCAAGCTATGAGTCCCTTCTTGAGCAAATCCAACACGCTCGATTGGCCGAACAGTTTGCTATTACGGAGGTACCTAAACCCACGCCTGCATCTCTTGAACAAGATGAATTGATGGCTCGGTATCGACTTGCTCAAGAGCTCTGCTCTGCTCAAAAGATACGTCGCAACGCTATTAAAGATTTAGCCCAGCAAACTGCGGATGCAGGTGTGAGTACCAAGTTTGATATGCACCGTAAGCTGGTGGCATTGGCGACCGGACTCAAAGAAGAAGATCTGGATCCTATGGCTGCGGAGTTGGCTGAAACGTTGGAATTTGACCGAATGAATGGCAAGGGCACCACTCCGGAACTAGGTCATCGACGATTACCCTCCCAGAATGAGTCAGCCACTCTACCTGGACCCGGTGTCCCAGTGGATGCCTAAGTACCTCCACACCTATGGACTTGATGTTTGATTATATTTCATGACTCATTGATTTTCTTCCTCTGGCACACTATCTCAGCCAGCAGATACCCCGCATCTTCATCTTTTTGTTTTCTTCGTATCCATTCTTTTATCTTGTCTTCATGTTCTCATGGCTCATCCACAACTCATTTAGTTGTGATTTTGAGTCCCATTCTCCATCTGACTGGCATTATCACTCCACAAGCAGACAATGCGGGCACAGGCTGTCTAACTCCTTTTCATGTCTGTACAGACCATAAGCGTGCCCGTATATTGTACATACAACGTGGAAGATAGCAGTTCCCGATCAGGGGAGATGTGAAATACGAAGCCAGGAGGGGCTGAGATGTACGTTATGCATGTATGATTCATTTAGGATGGCAAAGGCGTGGTTTATACCAGCCTTGCATGAAATTATGCAGTTGATAATCCAGATGCACATAGCCTACCGTAGATGATAATCACACGCTAAACTAGATTCCGGAATTTGTCGTCATCGCAGAATAGAGCGAACAAGGCTATAACAATAAATCATCACAAGATCCGATCAAGTTATTGAGCTAGAAGCAAGGAAGTCCACGTAACCCCATTGGCTGGCGCCGGCAGCTTGGCATCAGCGGCGAGCGGCTCCAGGGACATTGTCAGGCGTAGAGTGCCGCCACGTCGCGCCGCTAGTGACCCACAGCCAATGGTTTGGCTCGAGATGTGATGGGGGATCACTTCAGGTCTGAGTGCGTTGCTTATTGGTTGACAGGATGAGCCAGTCAGATCTTCCCGATGAGTTCGTCTATTATATTGTCAGCTATGATCAGGCAGTCAGGCAAAAGAATAAGATAGTATTTCTCTAGAGTTTGAGTAAAGCTAAAAAGGCTTGAAGTATCTCAAATTTTCCCAAACATAAGAGATTGAACAAAAGAAGTATCAAAGTGAGCCTCCGTTGATATTCCATTGATATTCTCTCTATTGTGCCTGGAAAAAGGGGCGCTAGTACTCTTTGGGCATCATTGTGTTCTTCTGGTGCCTTAGAAAACAGGCAACAATCCCCGCCTAGGCCGTCCACCATCTTCAATAATCTCTCTCTTCTTCTTCTTCTTCTCTCACATCCCTCCATCTAATCTTCGATTCTTTCTTTTCCTTTCCCTTCCCCTCTGCATTCCTTCTTTCTCTGCAGCTCTTCTCGTTCCATGGAAAACACTCAAAAAAGCATTTATCCACTTTGCAAATAGTCCCGATTAGTTCCGCCCCTGAGGAAAAACGTTGCGTTTGGCCGAGACCCGAATTCACCTCTGCATTTTTGATTGCCTCAAAGCACAAGTTCATCTCTTCGGCCGGATCCCTGAACTTGTCTTCACCTCGGTTATTCACATAACACTTAGTTGTTTAGTCGCGACCTTGAGTGTTTCAGCCTTCAAATCTTCTATCTTCGGCATCGCGTGAACTACTCTCTCTTTTTCTTTACTCGGCTGGGATTTGCAGAGCATTTCCCGGACACTTTATCTTTTCTTCGTGGTCTTGCCTCCCGCGTGGCTTTTTTCCCCTCAAAAATATCCTCTTAATTGTTTATTTTTTTCTTCTTTCGAGGTGTAGGTCATCAAATCACCTTCACCTCGGCTTCCTCGAAACCTATTCCTCGGGTTCGCGACTTTCAACCCCAGCAAGTCGTTGTACAGCTTGGTTCTTCTAGCACCTGCCATATTTTCTTAGCTAGCCACTCGCTCGCTTTATTTGCATATCTTCACCTGTGATTGGTACGTGTTGTTGTCTTCTGCCTTATCCGTTGCATCTTACTGACCAGTCTCTGAATACAGGAAACTCGACTCTTGCGTCCACGTTTTCTTTTTCGGCCGTTGAATCTCGATCTTGCAGACTTATTTCAGCGCTCCTTCTTGCATAGACACCATAATTCCTTAATCGCCGGGAAGTGAGTTCAGCTTTGTGGTTGACCCCAAACGCTCACATCAAATCCGGACGTTAAAAGACACCATTCGTCTTGCATTCTATTGCACATACCTACGATCCACCTCTACCAAACGAATATGAGTATGGACGCTGGCGGTCTTGCTCAAATGTCTTACAATTCTTCCTTCAACAATGGCAATTCCCTGGGTGTGCCGGGCTCTGGATTCGCCTCGCGCGGCAAAGGCTCTCACATCAAACGTTTGAGTATGCCTCCCCAGGTTGCTACCATCGACGAGTCCCAGGCATCGGCATCTGTCGCCACTCCGCGTACTAGCCGCTCTCATCTTTTGGCTGGACTGCGCACTGCTCCCAAGTCTGCGACAATCCCTTCTGAACATCAGCAGCGGAGTGGAATGGAAGGTGCACGATTCACTGGATATTCCAACCGAGGGACTGACCGGGTCCCACAAACTGCAACCGGAACTGGATTCCCACAGCACAATTATACCACGAGCCAAAACGCGAACTCGCACCGCAACAACTCACACCATAACCGCATGATGTACACTATGCCGGAGCAGGTACTTGCACCTCCGATGCTTGAAATGGCCGGTGGCGATATTCCAATCGATGAGAACATGTACGCAGAATTGATGTCAACCAACCTGTTCCTTGCTGCGCAGCAACAACGCCTACAACAGCAATTGATCAGTGTTACTGCTGCAGCTCAACAATTCCAAGGCCTCAACCTCGGGATGTCTCTTCCCCGGCAGCAACAG